GCAGGACGTTGTTTGTCTCATGCGACATACTGCTCCAAAATTCGAAGCAGTTAGCATTTCCTCCTTTAAAGCTCTCGATAAATCTGAATCGTTTTGCTCTCTTGTGTTCGTTTCTATTAGTGTACGATTTTTTGCATTGTCAGCAAGCTTTTCAAAATGTTCCTTGCGAAGTTGAAGCAGCATATCACTCGGAAGATCTGGTCTTTGCGAGTTTGGACCATAATATTTATCCGTTCCTTGCATCGGCTTAAATTTCCTTCTCTTGCCATGGGTCATTCGCAATTCTTTCGTTTTCGCAACTTTTTTCTGCCGCCGTTCCTCTAATCTCTTTACTAGTGGTGGAACGGTTTTACACATGTTCTTATGCATTTCTGTAAGTACTTGTTGCGTATTGTATTGCGTAACAGCTCCTGCAACTCTAGCATTGTAGGAACTTCTTGCACCAAAATTAATACGTTTTCCACCAATCTCTTTGCAGATAATTGAATTAAATGTTTCTGCAGGATTGTTTGTCACATTCATTAACAAACTATCCGAAAAGCAGCTGAGGAATCGTATGGCTTTCTCGACTTCGGTATACAGACCGTATAATTTCAAAGATGGAACGTAATTTTTCTCAGCTCTGTTTTCGTCCCACATACATGTATGGCTGCGGCTATTGCACTCCTTGTGCTCACCAAATATATGGCTAGGAATACTTAAAATGTCCTTCTGAAGTTCTCTAGCTTTGATATGCTGAGGCCGTTTTTCTTGTTTTCGCGCATTGACTGCTAAAACGACAGCTCTACGAATATTTAAAATATTTTTTTTAATGATATTTCGGTGCGCAACAAAGCCACGATCTCTGTGACCCTTCGTTTGTGTTTCCTCCACAACGTGTCTTAACTTTTTACATAAATTACGAAGTAAGTGATTGGTACACTCAACTTTTCTAACGGTTACTTTTTGCTCTCGGTAAGGTCTGTTATTCACAATAGTATGATAGACGTTGCTATCACCATCGGCAACAACCGTTCTATATATCAAGCCATGCATTTCAATGCTGCATTTGAAACCTTCAGCAATAGCATCACTTTCCATGCTGCTAGAACTAGCATATCGATCATAGTTTTTGTAACATTTATGATGTTTTGGGGATGTAGCTTTTCGTTCCGCTTTATCACATATTGTGCAGTATTTATTGCGTATGCCGATAAACAGAACTTTTCCTGTGCGGAAACCTACAATGGCACCAACACCGGAAAGTGAATTATAATTCGTACCATACGATCTCTTCATCCAGCTACCATCCGCTATGACAGTTATGTATGGGATACTGTGGACGAATTCATTGTTTTCAGAAGCTAATCGTCTTCCTTCTTCACCTGCTGCCTGCATGGTATGCATTGCGCTTTTCATAAACTCATCTACAAGTTTTTCACGGTACCTGCGGTACGTCGTTTCAGCCATGCAGGGCATGATCAGGGCGGCGCACAATTCTTCTAATTGTGCATAGCCGATTCCGACTGTAACAGTCGCGGTCGTCATGGCCTCATTTACATTCATTATATCTGAATGCATAGGTTCCGACCAAACAGTATCTTCGTAATTGCACATTTGCCACTTGAAGAAAAACTGTGTGAGACACCCATGCTGGCGAGTACCGATCATTTTCCAATCGCGAAAATGACATTCAATACCTCGCGCATGATTGTCGAACGTTCTATGTATTTTATTCCAGAAGAACTGAACGTCAACAATTCGGCGGCCATCTGGCACATTTTCCGAAATACGTCCTATATCGACGTGTTCGACGTCTACGACGAGATTGTCGTCGGTATCGTCCAGGACGTTTTGTACAGTGGGTCTCACACTTGTAGATTCGCATTGTACAACGACAGTTTCATCGGTTTTGCGAAGGACGTGATCTAAGATGCGCCCTACATCTGTATTTTCGCTAAGGACGTGATTTGAGATGCGCCCCACATCTGTATTTTCGCTAAGGACGTGATTTGAGATGCGCCCCACATCTGTATTTTCGCGAAGGACGTGATCTGAGATGCGCCCTACATCTGTATTTTCGCTAAGGACGTGATTTGAGATGCGCCCTACATCTGTATTTTCGCGAAGGACGTGATTTGAGATGCGCCCTACATCTTTAGGATTATTTGGGGAAAATAACGGATCTTTATTATAACATTTGCAAATGAGTAGATAGTCTGACATATCTGTCTGACTATCCCCCTTTACATTTTTTTCTACAGATTTCGCTGGTACAGAAGATCTCTCTTCGAAAACTGCAGCATCTTGAATCGTCGTTGCCGACGATTGCTGTTGTTTATGTCGCCTGCAAGGTAAAACGCATAAACTTAGAAATATTTGTAGGATAATTCATACAAATTTTTGAAATGTATAAATGTGAAACACTTACAGTTTTTTATAACTACTTTTGAAGGAGAGCCTCTTACTTCCCGCAAATCTGTGACGACTACTATTTCTTTTATTTCCCATTTGTGCTTATTTTTTTCACAAATGCTTGGAAATGTTTTCAATAATGTCTTCTACGTTACCGCGAAGACGTCTTATTGTTAGAAAGAAGTAGATGGCAACGCGCTACGTACGTGTGAAACAAAAACGAAACGCCAACGCTGTGGCGTTTTCAAATTTCACTGGTAGCGACAGTTCCATACGTCCTGCGAACGAGGGAGGTTGTGCTTCAGGTTACATATACCGGGAATATGGATCTACGAAATCGCAGTAAGCGTTTCTTTTCCTCTTTACCTAACCGTTTCAAACAGAATACCTTATAAATGACTTGAAGTTTCTCGAGAAGCTATACAAAAATGTACAAGATATGTGCTTTTGTTGTATTTACAAGATATGTGCTTTTGTTGTCTTTCCAATTTGTTCAAACTGTGAGAAAAAATACTGAGGGGTAATTTTTCAACTTTTTTATGTAAGCCTATAATGAAAATGTAAAATATGTCTTTCGTAGATTCAAATGAGTTATGTGCATGCTACAAATTTCATCGAGAGCGGTCAATGCATTTAGAAGATACAAGTAATTAACTTTTCCGAGAATCGCGACTTTTCATCTAAGAACAGAACTAGTCACGTTGTTACTTGAAAAGTCACGATTTTTAGAAATTAATTACATGTAATTTTCAGCATGCACATAACAACTTAAATTTACAAATGTCATATTTTAAATTTTCATTACAGTCTCACATGAAAAAGTTAAAATTGCCTTTTGCAAACGCGTGTCCGCGAGACAATGTTTATTACGCGGCATAGGATGCCGCTCGCGGATCCATAATTGCAGTCTTATAGTTTAACAATCTTACGGGTTTAATTATCGAGAGCAATAAACTCACCCTAAGACATCGTCCGTTTTGCCTTCTATGTACCTGGTAAAAATGGTAACAACGGTAAATTCATGAACCGATGAATTTACTACATCAATTTAGAAGCACGGTCAGTCATGTTCAATAGCACATTGTCTAATTGCTAGAAACCTTTCTAAACTGGTCGAAGTAGTATTTTGTCACGTACCGAATCAATCACCATGAAACTCCAAAAGGTCCAACAGTATACAGACCTTCTACAGTACAAGGCCAGTAAAGTCAGAACATTTATTTGGCATAAGCATTGTCTACAAACGCTCACGACGAGCAGTTTACAATCCTTTACGAGGTCTTGCCATTCACTTTACTTAAATTCTAACTCCTCTTCCGGGTCTTAAGCGGACCCCCTGCTGTGCATGTGTCTTGTGAGATCTACCAACCCCGACAGGGTTCGAACCGTCTTGCGCTCTGTCCCAGGTACCACCGGTCACAAAGACCTTCAGAGCCCACAGTCGCTCGCATCTGGCACACAGCCTATACCTGAGCCATCAGTCGCTCTTGCCTGGGAGATATCGCCGGTTCTGTGCAAACACGCACCTTAAGACTCCCACGTGCACCGCAGCCGATGGGTTTTCGGCTAGCTTACATGGGAAATGTCCATCGACTACCTCCCTGCGGCTCCTTGCTGACCGTTCGTAAGACCCAGGAGAGGGAGAATACAAAACTTGGAACGAGACACCGAGACTCGAGTTCACTCACTGTCGATCCTCAGATCTGACCACTTCGTCAGCTTTCTTAAAGTCAATTCACACAGTCTTAACGATATACTCCGACGTAGCTTCATAGTTCAGTTTTAACGTACCTCTGAGGTATTAGTTCTCCAAACACACACAAACATTTGTACAACATCTTCGAATTGAACATATCTGCTTTAACGACTTATCAGAAGTCTCAGTGTAAATTTATTCTCCTTGCAAAGGTAAAAGTTTGTAAGGAAGTACGCACCTTCCGGTGGTGGAATCCGCGTGACACAATGGTATCCTCTATCCGCGAAGGCGTACTGAACAATGTTAGAGACGACTATTCCAACGGTTTCTGCAGCAATTGTTACAGAAACCGTTGGAATAGTCGTCTGTTTCATTGTCTCGCGGACACGCGTCTACACTTTTATTATTTTTTTCGCAATTTCGAAAAATTGTAATTTTGTAAAACGACGAAAGTACATATCTTTGTAAATTAATCAAGTCATTTAGTCCAGTTTGAGGTACATATTCTGTTTCAATTTTGTGCGATAACTTGTGCAGAGACAATTTTTGTTTTCTGGTGTATTATCAATGTTTTTCAATGTTTTTTTAGAAGAAAGAAAAGCACGATCATTGGGGGCGCAGCCGCAGCCGCAGCCGCAACTCCAGGCCCAGCCGCAGCCGCAACCCCAGGTCCAACCGCAGCCGCAACTCCAGCCGCAGCAGCAGCTGCAGCTACTATTGCAGCTGCGTGAAGACATGCTGGTAATGAAACAGTACATGCAGCAGCATGCTGGGTACATCGTAAGTAGTTTTTTTACTTTCCTTCCTTGCACGTTATTTCTGCACTTGATTCTTTATATATAATAACATAATGTTTATTTTTCCATCACCACCAGCCGGCACAACAGCAACTGCAGCCGACGGCGCAACTGCAGCCGCCGGCACAACAGTAGCATGCTGTGTATGTCGTAAGTAGTTTCTTTACTTTCCTCCATTGCACGTTATTTCGGTACTTCATTCTTTATATATAATAACATAATGTTTATTTTTCCATCACCACCAGCTGGCACAACAGCAGCATGCTGGGTATACTGTAAGTCGTTTTTTTACGTTCCTCTTTGCACGTTATTTCTGTTATTAATTGTTCGTATATAATAACATAATATTTATTTTTCCAGACATACGTATCAATGGAAGAGCGGCGATTGGAGCGGCAGCGCGTCAGGCAATGCCGCCAGCTGCGGCGGCTGGCAAATCTGAACCCCGGTAGCGGCCAACGAAACCGTACCGGCGGCCTGGGTGGGCCGAGTACGCAAAACTGCGTTGCGGGCCCCGGTACGGTCTGCGTGGTTTTGGGGCCCAGTGGGTGCATTTGCGGGCGGCACATATAAAAAGTGGGTACGATGATAATATATGTATAACATCTGATAATGACGAAGATAATACAAAACTATAATTTGTTTGATTTCAGGAACTATTACTACTACTATTTATTATAATTTTTTTTTTATCATTTTATTATTTTATCATTATTATTATTATTATTATTATTATTATTATTATTTGTATTATTATTAAACTTATGATCAGAACAAATTATAACATTTTCCCCTATTCCTAATTAATTTATAAACTTCTGTTTACTTTTATATTTATATTTTATTATTCTATCTAATAAAATATAATTTTTCAATTTGCAATTATTATTCAACAAGATCTTTTGCTTTTTGACTATGTTATATAATTATGTATGTAGAATAATTTGACATGCACAATCACTGTATTTTATTTGTATTTATTGTTTATATATGCTCCGTTGCGGGTGGACAATTTAGCTGCGAGTGCCTCTACACTGACGATTTCCTTTAGAAGGATAAACTAACCTTAGACATTCGATTTATAGGAATTCAGAGTATAATATCGGGACATATAAAAAAAATAACTTTAGACATTCGATTTGTACGAATATTCTTCCCTTGGTTATGTTAGATTACAAAAAATGTATATATAACATTTGCCTGAAGGAGTTAGGTCATTCATATATTTCATAGGTCATGTGTACAATATCGTATTTTATATTTTATCTGTTACGTATGTACATAATATAGTTATCGCAGCATCCGTGTGTCATTTAGGTGTATGCGAAGAGTGACGTAAATAGCATGCCGTTAGTTGGATGCGATAACTGAGGTGGCGCTGAAATCAGTTTCTGTTCGGCCAAATTTTCGATGAAACGTTGACTGTTTTACCAATGCGGAATTCGGAGTTCGGCCTCGACGCTCGCATCGCCTTAATTAAGGTCAATGGATTTGATTTATTGATTTATCGTTCTTTCTGTAATGACGAATGATTTTGTCTGTTCAAATGTCTATTTATAACTGATTGATACTGGTTTGGCTATTAAATATCAGACTTGCTTATTTATTGTTCAACTATACAGTGATGTAGTGTTTAATTTAGCTATGCGCTTTATATTTGATTTGATTTTGTCATTTTGTCGTTTTTATTCACTATATCCTGATACTTTATTTGGTAATCAGTTTCTAGTTTTTAGTTTCTATTTGAACTACGCAGCTAATGTTTGATTTGATTTTGTCGCTTTAGTTACCTATCTTGATACGTCATTCAATAATCGGTTCTTTTGCATTTGCATTGACATGATCATTTATCATTTAGAAATGGAGTAATTGTGGGTAGTAGTTTTTGCGGTTACAGTATATTCTGTCTAATTCAATTCCTGTATTTGGTATTTTATTTTATTATTTTTCATTTTCTTTACATTACATTACATTACATTACACTACATTGCATTACATTACATTGCATTACACTGCATTACATTGCATTCTTTTACATTACGTTGTTGGTTATGGCTTTCACTTTATACTTTATGCCTTATTATTTATCTCATTCTTCTTTAATATCTTTAATTAATTACTTCACTGTTCTGTCGCTCATTCTTTCATTCATTTTTAATCAAATTGAATTAAAGTAATTGATATGATTTAGCTTATTTTGATATTCATGATGGTACAAGTGTTGTAGGTGATATTAATATTAATATCATATAAATTAATATTTATATATTTATGGTTGCTTTCATTCAGTTATTTTATATTTATTTTATTGTGCCACGTTATCACTGTTATCGCTATTTATTTAATTTCATTATCGCCATTTAACTTCTTGATTCCTGATTTGTCGCCTGTATATCCTTGGATATTCATAGTACATTTTCATATTCGTTTTGATATTCTTTAATTCAATTTATTCATGACGTCTCTCTCTGGTAATGGTATAGCTCTCTCATGATAGTGTGACGGTGTGCTGTTTCTGTAGAATCTAATATTCATGTCACCAGGATGGGCTATTCCTGTTATTTTACAGTATGTTATTGCAATTACCTTACCTTGTTTCCTTTCTTTCTTCTTTTCTTTCCTTCCTTTTGAGTTGCAATTCAGCTATCTTAATTGATAATCTGTTCCTTTCAACCAGTCCTTAAATGCTGGTTTTGACACTTTGTGGCTCTGACATATTAGGGTTATGTCTCTGTAAATAATTTGCCATCCGTCACCACATCTCTGAATTTGACCTTTCTATGGCTTATTCTACTTTACCTTACTCATACTTGCTGGTATTCTGTTGTTTTTTAACCGATTCCGAAAAGGAGGAGGATACTCAATTCGATGTGTATGTATTTTTCTTTTTTTTTTTTTTTTTTTTTTTTAATGTATGTTCACCGATTACGCCGAGACGGATGGACCAATCGGAACGAAACCTTTTGCATCTGGTAGAAAATTTCTCCCACTTGGTCCTGTCACAGAGACATTTTGCATTTTTTCATTCCTAACGACTATTTCTTCTAAATGTTTGTTCGCCGATTACTCCGAGATGGATGGACCAATCGAATAAAAAATTTTGCATCTTGTAGAGTATATTTCCCGATTGATCTCGCAAAAAAATGTTTGTATTTTTTCATTCCTAACGACTTATATCGCAAAAAACGTAATACTTCATTTATATCTTCTGGCGTTTATGCTGCAGGGAATATACCGATTGCGATGAAACCTTTCACATTTAGTAGGAGGTATATCCGCGATGATATCACTTGCAAAAATTTGTTAACAACTACTGTTATAGCAAAAAATCTACGCCTTCATGTTACTCCGCAAGGAATGTATCGTTCGCGATGAAACCTTTCATATTTGGTAGGAATTACAGGGTGTCAGGCGACTACCTCGACAGCCAAAGAGGGATGATTACTAAGGGGATTCTAAACAACCTTTTCCTTTCCCAAATTGTTGGTTAAGGCTTGGTTTTTGAGTTAATAACATAAACCACCGACCAATACGAGCGCGTATAGAGCGCAGTCCCAGGGACTACAGTGTCGGGTACGAAAACCGGACTTGACATAGGTCGTGAACGAACGGCTTGGCACCCCGTTGGCATAACACAATAAAAAACTTAACTGGTAGAACACCTTTAGTCGTTTAAAATGGATACGGAACCTAATCTCTTGTCACCTGTCATAATATAAAAGTGGAAATTCTAAGGATTCTACACAACAAATAAAAATGTTTGAAGTGGAATAATTAATAAACGTTTGAATTGAAGGCTACGCTAATGATGCAAAATTTGAAAACAATTTAAATGAAACTTACCCATTCGTTCGTAAATTTACCTGCTATGCTAAAAGCAGATAATTCCTACCTGGGTGTATCCTGGGTTATTATGTCGGTCTTCATCACTCGACGACGAAACACGTGTGCGGAACAGCTGATTTGATGGTCGGGCTAGTGAACTCGCCTCGTTTATTGCACTTAGGTATTGCACTTACGTAGCCCTTTTCGGGGTCAAACGTTTTTATTTTTTATTTAGAATGTTTAAAATTTCCTTGTTTACATAATAACAGGCGACAAGAGATTAGATTCCGTATTCCTTTTCAACAACAACAAAAAATGTTCAACTACTTCAATTTTTTTATTGTGCTATGCTAACGAGGCGCCGAGCCGTTTGTTCGCGACCTACGTCAAGCCCCGCTGTCGTAGCCGACGCTGCCGTCCCTGAGCCCGCGCGCTATACGTGCTCGGATTGGTCAGTGTTTTTGCTTAATAATTCAAAAAGGAAGCTTCAAACCACTTTTTCGCAAAGGAAAAACTTGTTCAGAGTCACCCCACCTACCACCACCTGAGAGGGTGGAAATGCGTTACGGGACACCCTGTATATATATATATTTCTTTTCTCTCTTTCAGATCAACAGATGTTTCGCCACTTCTAGTTGCAGCAACAACAACAACAACAACAAATGCAGCAACTGAGGGAAGAGCTCCTCCCTCAGCAGCAACAAGTTCACCAACCGAGGGAGGACCCCCTCCCTCAGGAGCAAGAGATGACTACTAAAATAAAAAATGATGAGGCGAAGCCACCGCGAAGTATGTATCATTTATAGTATGAATTATTGCCTCGTACAGAGGAATACAATATTGCCCTTATCAGAACATCTCTGTTGTTCAATATAAGGGCAAATATTTCTAATAATAATTTAAAGAGTACATATGTAATAATTTCAATTTTACATTACAGAGAGAGGAGCAGCGGCTGGCGTGAAGCGGCGCTTGAGGGGATACCGCTGGGGAAGGGGATCAGTGGAAAGGGGAAGGGGGTAGGGGATCGGGACGGGGGAATGTAGTACATTTAAGTTTCTACAATTAGTCATTTAAAAAAAAAAGTATTCGTTGTTCATCTTTTTTATTAATCACCTGTATTTGATCCTTACTTAACCATTAAGAACGGAAACCACCTTACGGCATCCTACAAATACTGCTCGTTCCACTAATTCCACTAAAAAGGGGGAAATAAAATAATTTTTAACCAAAAAAAAATCCGACTTCGAAATGCACTAAAAAGTGTAAAATAATTTCTATTTCATTTATACCAGTATTCCACAGCTATTAATAAAATCTACTTAATCGTTAAATAGGATACTAAATACATTTCAACCTTTTCGGAGGCGGCGCAAAATTAAAAATACCCGAAAATACGATCCTGCCAATAACGATTTGACTGCGGTATGGCAAACTTGGTAATTAATAAGTCGTAAGAAAACAAATTCGAAACGTTATAGATACGGCAGAAAACATTTGTAATTATAACAATTGTATCAGAAGTTGGTAGCACTTCTGATGTACATGTATACTGCTGTTGCGTGTTGATTTGAATATTTTAGGGATTTAAGGATGTAGAGGATATGTGGGTAAGGTACCCGTGGGGCGCTGAAGCACCCTGCTCGCAAGGTGCGAAAATTAATTAAATGAAAGAGTTTTCACTGTTGATTAGTGTTTCTAAATCCAACTCTTTATTAAAACGTTTTGACTATGTTTTATAAATGCGTTTTTTATTTGCAGCGTGAGAACAACTTGTCTAAATCAAGCGACAAAATCATTCTGAACATTCTACGCTTGGCGGAGGAGATCTTCGCGCGTCGTCGGTCGGTTCCTCTCCCTTGATGGATCCTGGATCCCCCCTCAGGATCATCCATCGTCCAATGGTGGAGGAGTCCACTCCGTCGCCGTGTAGAAGTGAAACTATTCTATTCTCTGGATTTCCGGCCTTTTCTCAGCTCGATCACCTACGTCGAGGGGTTTACAATTTAGGCTTTGTCTATTTATATAAGTGTACACGCAGATGGTGTTTAAATTTCGCTCTTGATTTATAACCATCGGTACAAAAGGTCCTCGATTGATACACGAGACATATCGATATTACAGACTATCGATAAATATTCCCATGGCAGAGTCGCCACACCACTCTAAACATATTCACGTGATAACGTTTCACGTTACACTGCATTTCACGAGAGATCATACTTAAGGCGATGCGAGCGTCGAAAACTTTACCGACAGTCCTTAGAAAAATCCCTATAACTTTAAACACAAATTACGTCGTCATTACTGAACAGAATGCAACAAAATTTGAGGGACGTATTCAGGAGGCCCTAAAGAATGGCGCGCTGGTCCTTATATTATCCAAATCGTCAAAAAGTTATAAAAAATTGAAATTTATGTCTGTCAACGGTGAAGAAAATGGCGGATCGGACTCACCTACATCAATTTATTCGTAATATAAACATTTTTGCGAATCGTATGTCCAAATAGAGACCAGAGTGCCCTTCTTTGGGGCGGATAGAACAAAACGAGCACCCAAGGGATGATGTACAAGCCTCGAGGTAGACGAAATTTGTGTTATAAGATTTTCACTCGCGAAAAACGTCAAAAAGGTAAAACAGACCACAAATTTAGTTCCTCGTTTTTTCTGTAGGGCGCAATTCGTTCGTTTTCTGCGCTCGATCGCGCGCGCTCATTCGCAGCTTATATATGAATATGTGTGCGTCGACCATGTATCGTGGAGAATGTGAAGTTCGAGCCTGGAAGAGGCGATGAACTCCAACGCGTGAATTTCTTTTTCACGCGACGTTCTATCGATTACGATATCGATTTTCAACCCACGTGTCAGGAGATGTACTATCATTATTTTTTGTTGCTATTATTATTCTTTTTTTCGGTGAAACTACAGAACAAATACGTCCTTCCCGATTTCGATGATTTTTGGATATGTTATAAAAATTATTATACATATAAGGAGCGTTCTCGCTTAGTTTCAGAGATATTCGCAAAAAGCTGCCGATATAGATGCATTGAATTTTGCTTATAGTTGTTGATCTGTGACAGCATACATATGCGTCAGATTGTTTGCCATTTTTCTGTTTAGAAACGAGGGTCGAGCGAGAGTAAAGGTTTCGTTCACAACTGCATATACCAGACTCCAAGAAATAAAAAAAACGTTGCCAGCCGCTTTACGGCAGCCGAATTCTAACCCATCACATCAATAATATTCACTTCTAATTGAATTTCAGTACATACACATTTCTTGAAGTCTCGTATATGCAGTTATGAACGTAGCCTTTATGGTCTCCGACCTTCTTTCTAAACAGAAGCCAAATGGCCAGCGGATGGCAACCAACACTTATGCATGTGTTGTCGCAGATGCACATCTATAGGCAGAATTCAATGTGTTATATCGATAGTTTTTTGATGGTTTTGAAATATTGCTTTGACTCGCTCGTCACCGACATTCACACTTTGTTATTCCTCTCTTTCGCACACATCCTCTCTCTCCCATACTCGCATACTGACCATTACTGTCTAGAAAGGAAATACATACAGCGATCACCTTTATTATATGTACTATTCATTATTTCATTTCAGCGGCACAAAATATCCTGGATTTATTGAGTGAGACAATATTAATTCAACAATAACTTTTTTATTTTTCGTTTTTCCTAAATGAAACTTTCAGCAATGTAATTGTAAGGTTCTACTGATTAAAATAAGACCAAACACCATATAATTTGCATTATTTTTACTTATTTAGATATAAATAAGTAAATAAATAATTATAATTCAAATTATGTCATGTTTGATCTTTTTCTAATCTGAAAAATCTCACAAATACGTTAGTAACATTTTCAAAATGAAAAGGTTTTATTTTGATTGCGTTAGTATTGTCTCACACGTATACGGGTAAAGCTTGCTTTTTTTCCTGTACTCTGCGTCGATTCTCGGCTGTCACCACATCAAACGCGAGCCGAACTCATTCTCTAAACGTGTTCTGTACATGGTTCATCAAACGCGAGCCGAACTCATTCACTAAACGTGTTCTGTACATGGTTCATCAAACGCGAGCCGAACTCATTCACTAAACGTGTTCTGTACACGGTTCATCAAACGCGATCCGAACTCATTCACTAAACGTGTTCTGTACACGGTTCGAGTTCGCATTCAGTTCCGAATGCACTAACCGAGATTTTAGTGTACGTATACCTATGCTCCAACAGTGCATATATTACTATTCTCTTATTTTGTCGGAAAGGGCAAGAGTATATTATTTTCAATAATATTTACAAAGTGACGTCTCAGGCGCTGTACGTCATGGGAATAGTTTTCTGAGCAAGGGTTTCCACCCAAAACTATGGTAGTGATATATGCCGCCGCGTATACACCACAACTGTAACAATCTGGTTGCGCCTGAACCCTTTCAAAAAGTATATCCTTTTTGCGAATATGAGGAAATCGTAATGCAATATATATTTTTTCTTCCTCTGCGAGCTTGTCGTATGCACTGCCAGGTAAACTGTCGTATACATGTAGTTTGCGGCCGTCAAAATAGATACTTCGCCAGTGATCAGGACGTTTTTCGATTCTGGGATGCGCCCCGCATCATCTTTATTATTTAAGAATAGGACGTTTTTCGATTCTGGGATGCGCCCCGCATCATCTTTATTTTTGAAATATTTGTCTAAGAAAACTGCATCAGCTTGAATCGTCGTTGTCGACGATTCCCATTCTTTCCGTCGCCTGCAAAGTAAAACGAATGTAGGACAATTCACACAAGTTACTGAAATGTACATATAAATTGTTAGCACTTACAGTTTTCTATAAGCATTTTTGAGGGAGAGTCTTCTCCTGGAATTTTTTTTATTTCCCATTTGTGGTTATTTTTTTCACAAATGCTTGGAAATTCAATAATATATATGTATGTATGTCTTCTATGCGAAGATGTCTTATATATATGTATGGCTTCTATGCGAAGAGGCCTTTTTGTTAGAAATAAATAAATAACAACGACAGCCATGGCAACGCTCTAAAAAGAAACGAAACGCCAACGCGCTCTCGTTTTCCAATTTCACTGGCGTCGTTGAACTTGGAGCGTACGGACTGGACTGTTTCGGAGCGAAAAAAAAGTGAAAAGAAAATGGATTTACAAGGAGACAGTAAGTGTTTCTTATTTTCTTTACTTCGTGAGTGTCATTGACAATTATAATAAGGTGACCATTTGTAACAAAAATATTTTTTTCTTTGTCTCATATACAGTGGGTTTATGTGAGCCTATAATGAAAATTTAAAATATGTCTTTCGTAGATTCAAATGAGTTATGTGTATGCTTAAAATTTCGAAAAATATAACAGATGATTATTCTAACAATTATTGCAAGAATTCTTGCAAAAACCGTTGCAATAGTCGTCTGTTTCATTGTCTCTTGGACGCGCGTCTAGAAAAGGCAATTTTCCAACTTTTTCATTTCAGCCTGTGATGAAAATTTAAAATATGACTCGTAAAAAATATGTTATGAGGACGCTAAAAATTCAATCGAGATCGGTTAAAAATTTCAGAGAATTGCGACTTCTTAGATGAAAAGTCACGATTTTCAGAAATAAATTACTTGTAACTTCTCAGTGCATTGACCGATCTCGATTAAAATTTTTAGCATACACATAACATATTTTTTACAAATGTCATATTTTAAAGTTTCATCACAGGCTGAAATGAAAAAGTTAGAAAATTGCCTTTTCTAGACGCGTGTCCAAGAGACAATGAAACAGACGACTATTGCAACGGTTTCTGCAAGAATTCTTGCATTAGAATAATCGTCTGTTATATTTGTCGCAGTGAAGTTGGCCACACATACATTCACTAACACATTCACGCTTTTGTCTTACGGAGTATCACCCACATTATTCAATTTTTTTTAGATGCTAAAGATGATAAAAAAGAAGAAACGCAACCGCAGCTGGAAATGCTGTTGCAGCTGCAGCAACAGGTACAACAACTGCGGTTGCGGACGCAGCCGCAGGAACCGAGGCAACCGCAACCGCAGCCGCAAGAACCGCGGAAACTGCAGCCGGACCCGCTGCTGCAGCTGCAGCAGCAAATACATGAATTACGAATGAAAATAGAACAGTTACAACATGTAAAACAACATGCTGGATATATCGTAAGTCGTTTTTTTTACGTTCCTGTTTGTACGATTTCTGATATTCTTTATTTATATATAATAACATAATATTTTTTTTCCAGCCACAACAGACGGCACAGGGACAGCGGTCGCCGCTGTTACATTTATACGAGCCTGATGAGCCAGATGAGCATATAGTAAGTCGTTTTTTTACGTTCCTATTTCTACGTTACTTCCTTCTTCTATCCACTGTTTATGAATAATAACATAATATTTATTTGTCCAGTCAATCAGGTCCATAGAGCGGCTGCGAATTCGGAGAATGCGCAGAAAATTAAACCGGCTGCAGCGGCAGAAAATGCCAGTACAAGGTCGCGGTCGCGGTCGAGGTCGCGGTCGCGGTGAAAGAACAGCAGGAGCCATTATTAATTTAAATTATTATTAATTTCAATTATTATTAATTTATTTTATTATATTTATTAAAAAATATATAATATTTAACAAAAATTACGTTATTATCTGTTCGGGAGAAAACCGAACGTTTCAAATTTGAAATATGTAAACTTAGTTTAAAACGGTTAAGACTCTCAACACATCTTTATGGATTTCTAATCGTTTATGGTGTAAAGTCGCGGAGTTTTCTCTCTCACTGAGTCCTCGGCGTACTTTATGTAATTTGATCTACGTTGTCAGGTAGATAGAGGTTCTCACTTACCTTTCGCTGGATTGGTAGAACCTATCTATGGACGGAACCCGGGGTGGTGTGTCGTCCAAGTGTTGGAGCGGTAGGGTAGATGTTCGAGTGAAGATCACGCACTTTCGATCACAATGAATGTTTATTCGTTACTGGTACAGTCTTTCGATTCGTTAGCGTTTTTACAATTGAAGGTTACGGAGCCTTGCTCTGTCGAAGTACTGTGCTTCGTAGCAGAGTTATATAGGTTTAGACTTATTTAATTAATCGAGTTACCGGAATCTTGCTCTGTCGAAGCACTGAGCTTTCGTAGCAGAGTCGTGTAGATTTTTGAGGATCAAACTCGGAACGGTACTTCGCGGATTATATTCGCGGATTTTAGTACTTGTACTTGAATTGAATTTCGAACTGCGCCTATGAGAACTTCTTACGAGAACTATTGGTAAAGTTGACTGCGTGCGGGCGGGCCCGATCGCGTTATTTTATATTGATGAATGAGGTCGGCATTTGATTTGGCAATTCGGGTGAACCACCTCGTTCGGATCGTCAGCGTTCTCGCCATACGACGACCCGGCTGAGTTGCTCACTCAGAATTTGCAGAACGATGAATTTGGATGGTGCAATAGAAGTTTAAAGAATTTGGTTGATGAAATAGAAGTTCCAAGAATGCGTCGCAGGACGTGACAATACATATGTTGTACTGATTTGAATTGTGAAATCAATTACAAAATTAAGGAAACTTATGTTTATTTATATGCATATAGAATGCGTCACAGGACGTGACAATGGATTCCCGAAATAGAGCACCATAAATCAATTCAGTTATCTAATAATAGGCTCTATTGAGAATCTAAACCGTTCTATAATAACGCAACAGTCTTCCCCTTTGTGCCAGGTGTTTACATGTCGCCTCGCTACCGTTTCGTCGACTCGCCTGGCCGACGGAGCGTGACGAGTTCGGCGGAGAGGTGACGGGCGGCCCCTGGAACAAAGGGGGCTCCCCAATATTTAAGCGGGCGAATTTTAACCGCTGGTTCGTTATTCTTAATCTGTCTTCGGTCGCCGAAACGTCGCGCTTCGCCAGAATTCCGAACTCTGCTGCTTCGGGAGTACGCGGATACAGAATAAAGTCTTTCTTCAAGTTTCTCATTTTATTACTCTTAGCTTTAAGCCTTTGTCAAATTTGTACAACCGTCGAAAAACGAGCTTAAATACATTTAATTCACCGAAATCGACTCCGGTTATTTCTTAAACATCGCATCGTCCTATCGTCCAGCACCTCTTCAAAATTCACCGAGTCTTCCAATCGCCTCCTTCCTCACGGCGACGAAACGCGTGAACAAATTTGGTCCTTCGAGCCGGATACGGGACGATCAGTGCTAGTCCGAGTGGGTGTGCACCGACGAACTGGGTGGATAAGAAGAACCTCTTCTTGGCTGGCAGCGCATCGGAAAGAGAACGACCCTGCAACTTCAAGATCAAAGGAAGGCAGATAAGTGAAAGAAAATTACTTCTTTTAATAATCAGCTGATCGTCGGTCGGGCGTTGCCCTACATTCGAGAACACTCTACTTCACGTTAACCGTTGGTGCGTGAAAGTAAACACAAGAGCATTGTTCTTGCTCCTTGCGTCTCACCTGTAAAGGATTTAACCGGCTTATCGATTTCCGAACGTTGAACCGAACTGCAATATGACGAGTTCTAATACGTTTGCTGACCTACTTCGAGAACAGGAGGAAGTGGGAGGATGGATTCAACGCTTCTGGAACAATGTGTGTAAACTGGGGAAGGACAAAATCACGTGGGCCGTACTGGAGCACCGCAAGGGACTGCTCGAGCGTTACTGGGACAACTTTATGGCCGAACATCGCAAGTTAATGCGTTGCCAAGAAGCTAGCGCGAGCGCGTACGTACAACAGGACCTGTTCTCCGTCGTAGAAGAGGCTTACCTCCAGGCGGCAGCCATGATTCTGCAGTGCCAAACCGACCGCTCGTGTCCAGGCTCACCAGGCGGTCGACAAGCTCCTTCCGAGGTAACTAGGCAGCTTCAACTTCCAAAAATTGAACTGCCGACGTTTTCAGGCGATCCGCTGAAATGGGAAAGTTTCCGTGACTTGTTCCGAAGCTTGGTTCACGACGTGGAACACTTACCCGACGTTCAGAAGCTGCTCTATCTGAAGTCGAGCTTGACCTAAAAAGCTGCAGACGTCATCCAAAACACGCCGATAACGGAATCTGGTTACCGAGGGGCATGGGAGGATTTGGAGCTGCGCTACGGAAATCCACGCCTGCTGTCCTTCGCTCATCATCGCGCCCTGCTAACCTGTCCGTCAGCCCAGAAACAGTCGACGGCGGAACTCAAGCGTCTCCTGGACACCTTCCGTCAGGCAATCCGGGCCTATGGAGCCTTGCGGAAGCCGGTAGCCTCCTGGGACGAATGGTTCGTCTACATCCTGACACAGAAGCTGGACAAGTTACTCACTTGGCTTGGGAGACTTCGTTGGCGAACAGCAAGGACATCCCACCCTTTCATCAACTCGCCGCTTTTCTCGAGAACCAGATCCAGGCCATGGATGCTGCCCAGCTCGGCGATCCACTTCTCCACCCCGTGGGACCGAAGAGCGCCAAGGAAGCCAAGCCTAAAATAAAGGAAGAGGCGGTGAAGAAGAGGAGCTCTACGACGGTACTGACCGCGGCCGCTAAATCTACGCAACCTAGAAAGTGCCCCTCATGCTCGGGCAATCATTCTCTGGGCTACTGCTATAAATTCAAGGCATTGGCCCCCTCGAAGCGCAAGGAAAGGGCGCAGACTCTCAAGGCATGCTCCAACTGCCTAACGGTGGGTCACGATTCGAGTAAGTGTCCCTCTAAACAATCTTGCTTAGCTTGCAGTGGACGCCATCACACTTTGCTTTACGATGCGCTCAAGATAACGCCGTCAACCAGCAAACAAGACACCATGGAGGCGGTGCCGACGAGATCTTCATCGTCGCTCTCGGACGAACCCAGCTCGGCAACCTCGCTCTCCTTGACGGCCGGACCACGCTCAGCCGCTCTACTAGCGACAGCCAAGGTGAAACTGGAGGCACCATCAGGCGAAACCCTCGAAGTCCGAGCTCTCCTGGATACGGGCTCCGACGCTTCTCTTGTCTCATCCTGGGTGGTGCAGGCCCTTCGTCTGCCACGGCGGGCGGTACGAGTTGCTATCTCCGGCGTCCAAGAAAACCAGAACGGGGTTTCTACAGGCGAGGTGTCTTTGGTGGTTGCGACCCCGCCAACCGTCCGGGTTCCGCTTGCCGGTCCGGGCCTTGGTTTTGCGGAAGCTAACTTCTTTGCTGCCGGCACATCGAATTGCTCCACAACCCTGGCCACACCTGAAGGGTCTTCCGTTGGCCGATCCAGAGTATGGCGTGCTGGCGCGCGTGGACCTCATCTTGGGAGCGGATGTATGTGGAGCTCTCTTCGCGGACGGCACTCGAACGGGATTCCCAGGAACGCCCACGGCAAAACTTACACCCTTCGGCTGGGTCCTCATGGGAGCGATCTCGTGCGCCCCAGCTCAAGAGGAGGCGCGCACCTTCCATTGCCGAACCGAAGCTAATGTCGGTCAGCTGCTCCAGCGCTTCTGGGAGCTAGAGGAGGTCCACAACCACCCCACGATGTCCGAAGAAGAGGAGAGGTGCGCGCGGCACTTCAAGGGGACCCATGCTCGAGATGCAAAGGGACGCTATGTGGTGCGCTTACCTTTTGTAAGGGAGCCTGCCGCCTCGCTGAAGCCTTCTAGGACATCCGCGTTGAAGCTCCTGTTCAATTGCGAACGCCGATTAGCCTCGGACAACGCATTAAAGGACAAGTGCGGTAAATTCCTGGAAGAATACCTGTCGCTGCAGCATATGAAGACGGTCCCAGAAGCCGCCAAGGAGGAACCGGCGTATTATCTCCCGCATCACGCAGTCGTCAAGCGACACGACCCTACAGCCAAACTACGAGTCGTCTTTAATGCCTCCTTCCGAACCGCTTCAGGATACTCGCTTAATGATTGTTTGTCCGCAGGCCCTAAGCTCCAGGCAGACCTCTGGATGGTCTTGACACGGTGGCGTATCTTCAAGGTCGTCTTCAATACAGACGTCGTGAAAATGTTCCGTCAAATTCAAGTTCATCCGGAGGACACGAAATGGCAACGGATCCTTTGGCGAACTGGTCCGGATGAAAGAGTGCAGGACTTTCAACTCATCACCGTGACCTACGGAACAGCCTGTGCGCCCTTCTTAGCCTTGAGGGTGCTCAACCAGCTGGCGGAAGATGAAGGGGACAGGCTGCCACTGGGAGCGGGCGCCATCCGCAGGCACACCTACGTCGACGATATCCTGGCTGGAGCAGACAACGTCAACGAAGCCCTGCGAGTGAAACACCAGGTCATTCAGATCTTCAAGGCTGGAGGTTTTGACCTGAGCAAGTGGGCGTCGAACGTACCCGAGCTGAGGGAGAACGGCGCCTCCGACCAGCATCTCTTCCAAGAATGGCCAGGAATTGCCACGCTAGGAGTCAACTGGGATCCGACAACCGACTCCTTCTCGCTGCGAGTCGCGCCTCCAGCAGACTCCCCGCCGGCATCAACGAAGCGGTCCATACTCTCCGAGGTCGCCAGCCTTTTTGACCCCTTGGGCTGGGTGGCCCCGGTACTGGTCACCGCAAAAATCCTGATGCAGGCGTGGACGGATTCCAGCGTCTGCCTCTACTGGATCCGAGGACACGCTTCTCAGTGGAAGCCCTTCGTCGCTCATCGGGTTTCCGCCATCCAGTCCGAGCTTCCACCCGACCTCTGGAGACACGTGGCATCATCGGACAACCCGGCAGATTTGGCCACGCGAGGGATCTCTCCAGCGGACCTTCTGAAGGCCGAACTTTGGTGGCACGGACCATCTTGGCTCCCTAGATCCGCCAGTCAGTGGCCAGACGAACGCCTGGAAAAGAGCGGAGCCATGGACTTGGCACAACGCAAGCTCACCGTACATCTCGCCGTGGAAGACAAATCGGATGAGCTACTCACCATGTATTCCTCGCTCTCTCGGCTCCTAACAGTACTAGCCTACTGCTTTAGGTTTAGCAACCTTGCCCGGAAAAGACCGTGCGAAAGCGGGTTCATCAAGGCGGAAGAACGCGCCTCCGCCCTCCGAGCCGCTCTTCGGGTCTCGCAGCGAGCCTACCTTGGGGAGGAACTAAGCCATCTTCAGAGACATCGAGAGCTGAAGAGGACGTCGCCGCTGGCATCCCTGAGGCCCTTCCTAGATGAACAAGGTTTGCTAAGGGTGGGAGGACGACTGGCCAACGCTCTATTGCCGTTCAACGAAAGGCATCCTTACGTCGTATCCAAGAACCGTCCTCTGGCCACGCTCTTAGTAAGAGATGCCCATCTACGCACTCTCCATGGAGGACCGCAGCTCACCAGAAGCCACATGGTCCGTCAGTTCTGGATCCTGCGAGGGAGGTCTCTGGTTCGGGCTGAAATCAAGAAATGCGTCAAATGCGCTCGTTTCAGCGGACGGGCAGGCGGTCAACTTATGGGCCATCTTCCCGAAACACGCACAGCCCCACAACGAGCCTTCCTGACCACTGGAGTGGACTACGCCGGACCCGTTCAAATACGTACCACATCGGGGCGTGGTCACAAGTCCTATAAGGGCTACGTCAAAGGGCTCTTCGTGTGCCTGAGCACCCGGGCACTCCACCTCGAAGCCGTCTCTGACCTAACCTCGTCTGCTTTCCTTGCAGCCTTCAAGCGTTTCACTAGCCGACGAGGCCGTTGCGCCACCATGCTCAGCGACAACGGCACGACCTTCCAGGGGGCCGACCGAGAACTCCGTTCGCTGTTTCGACAGGCCTCGGTCTTCTACCAAGAAGCGCCCTCCCTTCTAGCCAAGGACGGGACAAACTGGCGCTTCATTCCGCCCTATGCACCGCACTTCGGGGGCCTGTGGAAAGCAGGCGTCAAATCAGTAAAACACCACCTTCGAAGAATAATGGGGGACTCTACACTCACCTTCGAAGAGCTCTCCACGCTTCTTTGCCAAATCGAGGCCTGCGTAAACTCAAGGCCTCTCTTCGCTCTTTCGGACGACCCCTCGGAATTGGCTGCCCTGACGCCCGGCCATTTTCTCATCGGGGAAACGCCCAGCACTGTTCCCGAACCCGAGGCCACCGGAACAACGCACAACACTTCACTCAACGGACGATGGAGGCAGCTCAACCTCATGCGGGCACAGTTCTGGCACCGGTGGAGGCGCGAATACCTTCAGCACCTCCAACGACTCCCAAAGTGGCGTCGACAACGACCAAATCTCGAGGTGGGCAATCTTGTCTTGATCCGCGACGAACTAATGCCCCCGGCAAAATGGCCGTTGGGACGCGTTGAGGCCCTTCACCCAGGAAAAGATGGGCAAGTAAGGGTGGTCTCCGTACGCACGAAAGGAGGCACCGTACTTCGGCCAATCGTAAAGATCTGCCCCCTCCCGGTTCCGCTGTCCGACGCCACCTCATAAAATTTGCGCGTTAATTGTTTTTTTTATGCTTAGCTTATTTCATTACCTCCGCGTCTTGATTGTATATTTGCCTTATATTACGGTTATTGCGTTCTATTTTAAAAACTAAACTTCAGTTCGTACGTACCTCAGTACGAAGTTACACTGAGAGCTTCCGTACGACCGGTGTCGTAATACGGTGCTACGTGCAAGAGATGGCGTTAACTAAACTGGAGCTTCCATTTTGGAAGCTCAACTTTGAAATTTCCATTTCATGCCTACCACGACTCGCACGCGCTTTGCCATCCTTCTGCAACGCAAGAAGGTCTCTTCACGTTGCTATATGTATACCGATCGGATAATCGTTATTCTCTACGTAATTCTTTCACTTTCGCCTTCGCTTTTCCATGTTAAACCGCTTTGGACCCCCTTTTCTAGTACTTTGTTCTTCGTGCACCGAAGAAGGCGGGCGGTATATTCGGGAGAAAACCGAACGTTTCAAATTTGAAATATGTAAACTTAGTTTAAAACGGTTAAAACTCTCAACACATCTTTACGGATTTCTAATCGTTTATGGATTCCCGAAATAGAGCACCATAAATCAATTCAGTTATCTAATAATAGGCTCTATTGAGAATCTAAACCGTTCTATAATAACGCAACAGTCTTCCCCTTTG